AGGGACTGTTATCTATGGATTTCTTTTTCTGAACAGTCTAATTTCCTCCAGGTTTTCCATCTTCCCTATTGTCACCTCTTCTGTATGCTTACATATGAAAGTTAAAATATTTCTTTGTTAACAGTAATGTTCGAGTTTTCCAGAGAACAAGGGATTTCCTGACAGCAATCTTCAACTGCTTCCGAAAGAGAATGAGGATCCACTTCCTTGACTTCACCTGATTCGACTGGAGGCATCTGAATTGCCCCACATCATTGACTCCACCTGACAAGCACTATCCTGAAACTGGCTTGAAACTACATCACTCTACACAACTCCGGATCAAGAAACTGAAACAGCACATCTTCTACAATCTGACCAGAGCTTCAAGATAAGAGCTTCAATCAACACTAGAACCCCAGTCAGGAACTTCAATCAAGCATCTCCTGCCATACTGAGACTGTCTGATCTACTCAGATTTTGTTATACTAACATTTTCTTTTCACAGGTCCCCATGAGATTATCATCGTCCCATCTCAGCAGGAAGTAGTTTTGAGAATTCCACGCCCCTCTCCCTACTATTGATATTATAAGATTACACCTGTTAGTGTTAGTTTTCAATTATTTTAGAGTTGGGATTGGAAAGAGGTGTTCATATTTGGGTGTTTCTTTAAGATAAGTTTAGGTTTAGATAGAATAGATGTTTGATACATTTTGTTCATGGACACAAGTTAGTTGTCCTTTTTTAGACTAAAAGGGGAATTGTAGGAGGAAGTCTATGCCGCCATGAAACATGTGACTTACTAGAGGCGCATACAGATGAGGTAATAAAAGGGCGGTTTACCACACCGCTAACCACACCCACTTTAGGCAGGACTAAAGACGTATACGGCTGGACATAAAGACGTATACGTATGTAGGCAGAACTACGTCACTAGCCAAGCCCACTTTTGGGCATGGCTAGGGGCGTTACTGGGGAAGGCATAAAAGACAGCGCACAGGAAGTCTCGCTCTCTTTTCCTGGAGTTCGGCTTCCGGTCCAGTCGCTAGCGGAGATCTGCTGGGCTTCTCGGGGTTTGGTATCTTGTGAGTAATTTTCTATATAAAATACTTAGCCTTATTTTCAGTAATTGTGTGTCGCGTATCGTTACAGCGTCCATAAAGCCAACAACTTCCCAACTCTCATGAGAACTTCTGTCCTCACACACTTCTGCCAATGGCCATGGGCTAAAACCTCTGAAACTGTGAGCCAAATTTTCTAAATTTATGATTTTCTAAAGCTATTTTGTCATAGTAATGGGAAGCTAACACATTTGTATGTATATAGATCTTTAAAATTCTTCTTAAGAAACTGAACTGTAATTGCCTGTTAGTTCATTCTGACCAAGAGCTCTGGTAAAAAACCCACATTGTTTTCTCTTGGGCCAGATTTTAAGGCCTGAAAAAAAAGTAATACTTTTGATAATGGCACACAAATGATCAGGCAGCTGTCTAATTTCACTTTAAATCAAGGAGATGCCTGCACTGCAGATGAAAAGCTTTTAATATCTGTCCATTTCCAAGCGATGGCCAGACTCTTGGGGACAAGTCTTGAGGGGGAAGAAATGTGTTTCTGAATTCACTACTTCATACAAAAAACATTCCTTCCATATGTTTTGGGAACTAATATTTTAAAAAGAATATACAAAGTTTTGGTATAGAGTACTACTAAATGTCAGGAAGCCAGCAAGCCTGGAACTCCATGCCACAATTTCCCAATTAGTTGAATACCTCATGTCCTTGGCAATGTTGTCTTGGCTGAAGAAGCTGTGGAAGGGTTTCTCTGTCCCCAGGGAAGGGAAAATTACATTTGGCTTCTTCATCTCTCTTCCCTGCTGTGATGACATTCAACGGTGATACAATGCTTACAGAGACTTTAGAGGGCATGGCTTTGAGTCTGAAGCTTGGTATGTCCCATGGCTTTGTAGTTTGCTGGCTGGTAAATTCTGGAGTAGGAACCTGGAGTGCTAGCCTGAAGTTCCTGCAGATTCCGTCAGTGGCATTGGCTAGGACACCACCGCTTTAACTGTCCTACTGCAGATGCAGGCTAGGTGGCTGGGCTTCTGAAAGACTGTGTTGGTCTCAGGTAGACACATGGGAGAAAAATGCTGGCCCTCCAACATACTGCCCAGATACAGCTGTCCTAGGAGAGTGGGTGACTCTACTAACGGCTGCTTAGCAGCCAGAATGAACTCTGTTGCTAAAGAAGAGTGAGCCAGCGCAGTAGAATGGTGTTCCTAGGAAAAACAGTGGTCCACATGCCCGCAACAACACATTCAGAGTTGACTTGGAGCCAGTGCTGTTCTGGGCATTTCCATGTAGGAGTTCCTTCAGCGTTCATTGTAACCCATGACAAAGAGATGAAAACAAGTGTTTTCTTATAATCAAGGCGACTGAAGCCTATGACTTCCTTAAGGTCACATGGCTGGTTAATGGCAGCCAGGTTTCCAATGAAGCAGTATGGTTGCAGCACCTGAGCTACTAGCCCCTGGCCACTTGCTTACCTACATGTAAAGATCCACCTATGGGATGCAAAGTGTTCCTTGTCTACCAGTGAAAAAGCTTCCGTAGCACAGGAAACAAACAACACAGGGAATTGTTAATGCTTTTGAGCTGTGGTAAGACAGGAAAAGAAAATTACCACAAGCTCAGGAAATGGAGCGACTGTGACCTCCCCAAAGTATCTGATGGCTTCACAGAATCTCAGGCCCTTGGCGTCCAACAACCTTTGATGCACTGACAATGGGTATGACACGAAGAGCCCATTCACAAGGCACTTAGGTTTCTCTCTGAAAACAGGGATCAAAATTATTAGAGAAGTTAAGTGTGCAGGAGAATCGGCTCCGGGAACCTTTTAGGTGCATGCTGCAAATTACATACTATAACTACAACATGCCATTAGTGCAACAGCTGCCTTTGCTACAGAGCATGGGGCAGTCTGTGTGCTGAAATCCTTAAATGAAAAGAAGTAACCAGGGCGCTTCATGTACTAATAGATTATATTCCTATACTCAAGGGTAATGAAAAATCATACCATTTTGACAGTGTTCAGAATTATTTCTTTGAGGTCACTCTCTAGGCATAAAAACGCTCATATTAATTTTAAGCATTAGCACCTGTTGTTTTCCCAGACCTATTTATTCATGGACCTTGTTTGTAATAGGGAAAGCACATGCACACACTTCCTTATACATTTAGAAAGCAAGCTGCCATATTTTAAGTATAGTTGAGACTTAAAACGCCTGCTTACCATTTTCATGATGGCAGTATACTTTTTATTTTTCTTCCAGTCCTCTAGGTATTCTGCCCCAATAAACAATCTGAATGACTTGAGATAGTTGCAAAAGCTCCCTGTGGACGTTTCCTCAAGTGTAAGTTATTGGGAGGCTGTTTATATAATTCATGAGAATCTTCAGTCTTGTGCCCTTTTAATCTTGGTGAATCCATCGTACTGACAGAACCCTGCTTTGAGTTTATGCTTGAAGATTGGATTTATTCCTTTGGCTTATCAGGAAGAAAAAGGAAGGGAGCTGTACTTCCAGGCATATGCAACTTGGCCTAAGCACACATTGGCTGAGCTTTAACACTTCTGTCATTTTCTCATTTGAATTTGTTAAGGCTCTTGCTAACCAAAGCAATCCTACCTACCTACGTGCTTCTGGTGGCCTTTTGATAACATTAAGCCAGCCACAGAAGCTCTTAATAATTCCTGATAATTTGTTTCTTTAATATAGCTTGACATGCCTTCCCACCTCTCATGAACTGGAAACCACAATTCATGTCTTTTAGGAGTATAGCACGGACAAACTATTATTATTTGAATGCTTCTATATTCAGGTGAAATATATCCGTAGCATCTTGGGCCAAAGTTCTCGGACATGAAAAGTGACAGGTTTTCTTGTCCTGACTTCTGCGTCCTGGTTGATGGCTGTGGGCATCTGCTGGAGCACTGCTACAGAGGGGGAGGGGACCAAAGGGGCCATCTGCAGTGATGGCTGGAGAGGAATGTGACCCGTGTCACTCACTGCAAAGGGGCCATCTGCAGTGATGGCTGGAGAGGAATGTGACCTGTGTCACCCACTGCAAAGAGGCCATCTGCAGTGATGGCTGGAGAGGAATGTCACCTGTGTCACCCACTGCAAAGGGGCCGTCTGCAGTGATGGATGACTGGAGAGGAATGTCACCTGTGTCACCCACTGTCTACACTCATAGATGTCAACATTGCAGAGTCCACGGAACTTGCATCCACCTGTTGCTCTGCTACCTACAGCTGCTACGCTGGAGGAGGACCCGAGAGTCTCTGTCTCTGGCTGGTTTCAGAAAGCCTCCCAACCCTGCCTTATGTGTCCAGTTTTGCCTTTCCCCACCTCCATTTGATTTTATATAAGCATCTTTAAGACAAAGGCAGGCCATCGTTCGAAACCTTCCACTAGGGCCCAGGGACCGCAAATACAGTGTGGACTTGCTCCGGGAATATATGAAGCCTCTGCCCACTTCCAAGGGGCCATCTGTGCTCTTCTCTCGGACTTACTTCAGCCCGGCCACCCCGGGCTTACTGAGCTCGTTTCATCTGAAGGCCCCTGTCCATAAATCCCCCTAAGTCCTTTACGCCCCTGGCTTATCCTAAGGGACAGCTCTCAGCGGACACTGTGCCTCGCCTGCCCATGAGAGCGGCGCCTGGCCTCCCCAGCCACACCACCACAGACCACTCTCTTTAATTTCATTCTGCCTGCAAACGGATGAGCAGCTTCTACAGTGCTGAGGGTTTGGGGAGCATGTGTTGCAGTCCTGCACTCTCTTCTTGATCCTAAGGTGGGTGACACTCACCTACTTATGTTAAGGGTGCCTTATGTGTCTGTGCTCGTAGCCTGGGGTGTCTAGGCCACTCAGTGTAGCCACAGGCATTCTCTGATGTATTCTGTTACCCCTGTCATTAGCACAAACGACGCCCTCATCTGTACGTAGATGAGCCAGTCACTTACTTATGGTGGCTCCAGTCTCCGGCCTGTTGAGGGAGCTGATGATGACAAACCCGAACCCTTCGTTTTCCTTGCGGTGAATGACCACATCACTGGTCTGCAGGCTGTGGGAGGCAAAGCCTTCGGGCGGCGAGGCACTGCTGCTGGGGGCAGCGTGGTTGCTGTTGGAGTAGGTTGCGTAGTCACTGCGTGGGGAGCTGTGGTGGGTTGACACAGAGCCTGGACTCCTCCCGTTCTCTGGGCAGGGCTCCCCTGAAACACACGCCACGGGACACGGGAACTCAGTGATTTAGGAAAGAACTTACTGAATTCCTCAGAAGGAGCAGGCGCGAAGAGCCATTGGCTGATCTGCGCTGTAGCTGTGCAGAATATTTGAAGGCCGCGGACCTCTAGTCTGCCGGGGCTTTACCCATTGTTAACCTTTTCCAAAGCACAGGGACCATCAGCCTACCCGACCCCATCAGTCCCCCATCAGCCTCCCCGACCCATCAATTCCCCACTCATCATCCTCCCCCAACCCCAAAGTCCCCCATCAGCCTCCCCGACCCCATCAGTCCCCCACTCCATCATCCTTCATCCTCCCCAAAGGTCCCCCATCAGCCTCCCCCGACCCCCTCATCAGCCTCCTTTGAGGTTGGTACTCGCTTGTTTTTCTCTTGTTATGGCTGTAAGTCCCAGAGACAATGACAACTTTTATATGTTAGCCTCTTGGTTGCATAGTAGCCGACTGAACAGTACGCAGAATCCTGAGCCATCGCGGGCATATGAGTCACTAAAGAAGTTGTAAAGGGCCAGGGAGATGGTAAGTGGGTGAGGTACTTGCTGTGCAGTCACCAGGATCTGAGTTCAAACCCCACACCCGTGTAAAGGCAGACGCCAGTGCTTGTTTCTGGGGTCAGCGCTCCTGTGAGACCCTGGGGGACAGAGGCTGGAGAGTCCACAGAAACTCTCCGGTCGGCCGGAGTAGACAACAGCAAAACAGTAGAGACCCCGCCTCAGCCAATGTGTAAGGCAAGAACAAGCCCGAGGTGGTCCTCAGCCTGCAAGTGTGTGCCAAGGCGGGCTCCCTCCTGTGCCACACCCAGATACGAGTGCACGCTCACACACAGACACGGGCTAAAACGAACAGGAAAGCACCCGTCTTCAGGACCCACAGCAAAGAGTTTGTCTATTTCCCACACAGGTGGTCTGGGTGGATTAGGCATAGGAATCGAGATCTTTGGAAAATGCTGCCATGCCTGCATTTTACCTGTGAGTGGGGCCAGCAGGGGAGGCTGCTCAAAGGCGGCCGATGTCATGTTTTCGTTTACCTAGGCGGTGGTGGCGCACACCTTTAATCCCAGCACTTGGAAGGGAGACAGATTGATTTCTGTGAATTTAAGGCCAGTTTGGTCTACAGAGAGATTTCCAGCACAGTCAGAGCTACACAGAGAAACCCTGTCTCCAAAAAATGAAAATAAAATAAATGAAAAGCCATAGTTCTATCTTCTGGTAGTTTGTTTACTAGCCTAGAAGTGTTAAGTCATGCCATATAGGTGGGAAATAGACATTTAAAAAAAAGTGGCCTGCTCATTATTTTATGTGACAGTCATCAGCCGTATCTCAGCAAGTTAGTTTGAAAGAATAAGCAAATCAATTGAGATTTTCATTGGAAATTAGTTTGCACCCTCTGGATGAAATGCAATATCAGGCTGACAAACTGTGAATGTCGAATCTCAGCAGAATGGAGTCTTGCTCATTTGCATCCCCTATTACAAAATACGCTTTATTATTAATTAGATAAGCCTGACATGCTTTCAAAACGAAGTACGATTATGTGGCAATAGGATAAGAAACTGGGAGCTAAGAAAAGTTAGTTTATGGTTTTAATTATTTATTATTTTATGTGTGTGGGTGTTTTATCTGCATTGAGGTCAGAAGAAGACACTGGACCCCTGAAGTGGAGTAACATATGCTATGACCTGCCATGTGGGGGCTGGGAATTGAACTCAGGTCCTAGAAGAGCAGCCGGGGATCTCAGCCACTGAGCCATCTCACCCAGAAAATGGAAGTTGGTCTGCCATCCAGGAAGGGCTTGCCATTTTAACTTAATACCTGGACTGGGATAAGAGTAGCAGATTTGTTCTTAGAGTACTGTGGTGAGAGACAGGACTGTTCTGTTTCCTTCCTTCATGAGGGTTTCAGAAAAGGTCTGTATGATGGAATAATGCAAGGAAATGACCACAGTTCCTGATTTCTCTTGGGGCCTGTAGATACGGACTCTTATTTTAGACTATTGGGATGCTTCTCGTGTGGACACGGACTCTTATTTTAGAATACTGGGATGCTTCTCCTCTGGAAAGTAAACACCATCAGCAGAAGTCCCCACGGAGCCTGTCAATGTCACACACCGCGGTTCCAGTACTGGAAGTATGGCATGATTAGAGGGAATGAAACTTTGAGAGGTGGGGCCTAGCTGGCTTCTCGAGATCCTTGGGGTGAATCCTGGAAGGGAATTGTGGGACACCAGCCCCCACGTTTCTCCCTTGCCTTTGTTCTCTTTATCGTATGTGCTATGTGCTGGCACAGGCTCAAGGCAAATGGGTCACATCTGAACCTGTGGCACCAAAGAATCCTCTCCTGATGACGAGCTCACTCATCTCAGGCATTTCTTGCAAAACAGGGAGGTGTTGAACAGCGCTCACACGAGGACATGGGGCGGGGAGACTAAGGAGATGTTCTGTTATCCTAATATCCTGAGAAAGAATTGCATTTATTTACATACAAATACATTAGAAGCAACATTAAATTGCTGCCAGCACTCGGAAGGCTGAGGCAGGCGGATCTCTGTGAGTTCTAGGCCAGCCTGGTCTACAGAGTGAGTTCTAGGACATCCAGGGCTACACAGAGAAATTCTGTTTTGAAACTGCTTCCACCCTCCAAAAAAGAAGCATCCCTTCTTAGCAATCCAAATTATTTACAATGAATTAATTGATTCTGAGGGTAGTTTATTAATCACACTAAAGGGAGCAGAGAGCCGAGGAGGAGCTGTGTGCCTCCCTCTTCATCTCTTTTCATTGTGGAAGAACTGAGACCCAAGCTAGTGCTATTATGATTGATACATCTGAGCTTTTCCTTTAAGATATAATTAATTAATCTTTAATACAAAAATGATTTTCATTTGTGAGAAACATACTGAGGTCACAACAGGACAAAATGTCAATGTCAAAGCCTTTCCCTTCTTTGAACTAGAATTGAGTGTTTCTGTCTGGAAAATGTACCTTCCTTTCTGGAAAGCATCCTTCAGAGACAGGCTGTTATTGTCTTGGTGAAGCACATGTCCTTTACCAGTCCTTGTGAAAGTTAGAAATAAAGTGATTAGATAGTCTTGGAGAAGAAAAACAAGCAATTATTATGCTGCTACATTAAATTGAAAATCTCCAGAGTTATTGGACCAAATCAGTAACTAAATGTCATAGGCAATGACAAGAGAGATCTCATTTTTGGGCTGTCATATTTTAGGGGAGTTGAGAGCTGTGGTTGTCAGTAAATCAGCAAAGAAAAATTATGTGTCTTGGCAGTAAGTGGCTGGGAGTGGCCAGACTGTGGGTTCTAGAGTGATTGAATCACTGACTAAGTCAATGTGAGTGATCCCTGGGTAGCAGAAAGGGTCAAATTCACCACTGGGGCACTTTCCCATTGCATTTGGACTCCTTTCCAACCTCTTGAGAAAAACCTCTTTATCATTAGCAAAATGAGCAGGTTTTAAGTCAGGCAATTAACTAGGAAGACTTCCAAACCTTCCCTGGGGCTCTCTGGCCTCTGACTGACACTTAGAATTTGGTGGCACTGTTGTCTTTGAGAGCTTGATGTCAAGCACTTCCTATTCAACCGGCTCTGCATTTGGACAGTGCTGCTGTCTTTCCAAACCTCTCTGTGGTGTAGCCATCCACAGGTTTGCACTAGAAAGACACAGCAAGAGCCAGGCACTTTACTCGAAGAGACTCTTCCTTTGGAAGGGTGGGCACGGTGAATGGTGCCTAAAGGTGAGAGGCCTTGGACTCAAACATTTACTATTGGTGGGGCTTGATTCTCATTGGCACATTGCTGGTCTAAACTTCTCATGCTGATTGTTAAAACTAATTGCCAAAGTTTATAAATGGGGAGAGCTGATAGGATTATGTGTGCAGTCACTGATAATGATACATGGGATTAGGTTCAAATACTAAATATGATTTATTTCGGCAAGAGGTGGGTGACCACCATAGGTTCCAGCTCCCAGCTTTCACCCAGGCTGCTCTCTGTGACCTGCCCTCTGTCATGGCTGCACCTTTGACTACTCCAAATGGGAGTGGCCAATGCTACAGTGTGGGTGAGGTGGATATCTCACTACAATTATGGATTTGTAATTTCTCTTGACTTTTTGGAGCTGGATGGTGGCGGCCTGCTGTCTGGGCCACCGTGTTCCTGACAACTTCCAAGTACTTCTCACAAATATCAAATTTATTCATGTGCTAACTAGGTGAGGAATACACATCCAACAGGAATTTTGCAATCAGAGCCTTCATTTCCTTTCTAGAACTCTGCTCTCTTTGGATGCTGGAGAGAGACGCTGATTGCATGGAGACTGACTGTAACACGTTTTCATTAAGCCATAAACTCTCTTTCATATCCATTCTTGATCCACAATTTAGGGAAGTCCTTAGGGATGTCTTACTCTCAGACAAACAGTGTGTATCCAAAACAATGTGTCATTAGATTGAACATCTCAAAGCTGAGCTACTAAGCACATGAATATTTATACTTTCAGCATAGCAATTAAAGCTACTCTCTTAACATCCTTGGTGGTGGGGGTGACCGACCAAATACTGAAGCTGGAGATACAGCTAAGACAGCTCTCAAAACTCATTCAAGGTGCAAGATCTGTGCTTGTGAGTCCCAGGAAAAGACAGAGGGTTTGTCTCTGTACCTTCAGAGCCTGTCCTGAACTAGCTCTTGTAGACCAGGCTGGTCTCGAACTTACAGGATTAAAGGCATGTGCCATCACCACCCAGCAACATTGCTTGTTCTTTAACTCAGCAATTTCCCATGTTTGATGACTCAGTTTGAAGTTGAAAAAACTTGGCATTTCTACAATTAGTGTGTACATGTTTCTTAGAGCTTAATATTTGGAGCAGGCTTTTGTGTTATTTTAATTCCTGACCAGTGTTATCAGCCTGTCAGTATGCCATGGTGAGTGTGTTCTTTTTCTGACGCCGCTGTCTGGAAGCCAGTCCCTGCCTTCCCACACAAAGCAGGTTATCTTCCTGAGCCAAGATGGAGGATGAAATTCCTACGGCCTTGCCATTCCCCAGCTCCTAGGCTCCAAATGGCACTGCTGTGAGATAAAGCACCAACGATTTCTCTTCCTGTCTTTGTTTCTGCTGAGTTCACTTCCTGTTACTCTGGATCACCCCATCCTTAGCCAGGCCTGCCCCTCCCACTGCCCTGCTAACCAGAGCAGAATAACAGCAAGATTATTTAAAAAGTCTGCCCTCCACCCCATCACATCCATCTGGAATTGTCCTTTTTTCTTTGAAGAAATGCAGCGATGAGGAAGTTTCTTTTCCTATTCGTATGCCTTGTAGAGTTCTTCTACCCTGGTTTTTAGGCATTTATTTTACCCTCAAATTTTCGGTATCAATAGCTCTTTCAAGGAGTCTGGGCTGAATGATTATCTCTTGTAGTGTGAGCAAACTGTAGCGGAATGTTATCAAGAATTAAACGCACTCCGGATGCACTCAGAAGTCTAGCAGAGAGGACTTGGTAAGAACTGCAGCAAAGAGCGCTTTACGGAAGTCACAAGACCTCCAAATGGCAAGAGTACCTTTGTGCCACATTTGGCCTATACTCCAACAGCTTGGGTTGATTAGGGCAAAATTTAATTTGCAATAATCAGTTGGTGTCAAGGAGAGCATGAAATTATGTTGGTGTACTTGATTTGTACTCTGTAGCATAGTTCCTCATAAATCAGTTATCTTTTTAATTTATCTTCAGGTTACAGTACATATAGCACGACAACCTCTTTTTGTTAAAAATCACTCTGTAGGGAAGAGAGGCAGTTAGATGTTAACCAAGCAGCACTGTCTCCCTCCTGGCCACTCGCTCAAGGAGAAGGCATAACTCAAGGTGTTTTATTTCTTCGGGTCAAGTGGTATGCCATGGATTTGAGAAGACAAATGGAACATTGCAGCAAACCCTCCACCCAGTGCAAGATATATAGTGGTCTCTGCTGGTGAATCTGATGCTTCGCCTGATTTGCTGTTTGAAATGACTGCCCCTGCTCAAATGCTAGTTTCTATGGGACTCAAAAAGAAAAAGATATTTAGTTCAAGTAATGTATCTTAGGCTTTCTATTCACCCACAGCCTGTGATTAGCAGGTGGCCTTTTAAAAAATTCTCATGGAAGAATTAGGGAGTGGCATTCATCAATGATCTATCTTTGAGTGAGTGGGATTTGGAGCTGATAACAGCGTAGAAATGAAGACTTTCACTGGAGATGAGTTCACCTCAGCACTGTTACTGATTGTGGACTATTAGGCAATCTGTTATTCCTCGGACCTCAGTCTCCCTATGTGTCATGAAAAGAGTTACTAGGGTCACCCCTAATTTTAGAACTGAGTCTGTAGAAGGGAGTTCAAGTGGCTGAGGAGATGGGCCAGTGGGTTTCGGGACAGAGGAGGGGACATGGCTGAAGTTGCTGCCTCAGTGATTCACAATACAAAGCGTGGGCCTGCCTCAGGGGGAAAACTCATGGTGCCAACATCAACCAGCGTCCAAGGCTGCAAACCCAGCATGTGACTGTGAAAGACACACCCCGTGGAGAAAGAACTCTCCACTGAGACTTGATAGTGAAGAGAAGAAATGAGAAAATATTATGAATATATGGGTTGACTTTTAAATATATATCTTTGATGGATTCTTTTTGAAGCCAAGAAAATAGCTGTAAAGGGAATAATTACTTGTAATTTATCTGTTGCATAAGCTTAGAGCTACATGAATTATGCTTTCTCAGCGTGAGAGCTGCAGTTCCCCATATAGGGTGGTAGGTATATTGTTACCTTTTATCAGGCGCCACAATGAAAGCTAATTTTCCATCCTGGTTTCCTTATTACAGTATAAAAATGCTGTAGTTTTTTATTTGTAAACACAATGAGAAACATTTTCGAAAGGCATATTTTCCATTATTATAATGTTTTCCTTATAACAAGCATGTACCAAAGAACACAAAGTAGACACATCTTGATTCAGCCCCAGGCTTTTCTAGGAATTTTAACGACTACATTTAAATGCAGGCCTCAAAGACGGGATTCGTGAGGTGAAAAGCTGCACTTCAGAAAACAGTTGTGGCGCAGCCAGCTTGTTTCTTTGCCTACACGACGCAGAAGACGGCTGCTCGATGCTCCCTCACCTCCCCAGAGCCTCCCACCGCCTCACCCCCTCGCTGCCCACCTCCCCAGAGCCTCCCACCGCCTCACCCCCCTCGCTGCCCACCTCCCCAGAGCCTCCCACCGCCTCACCCCGCTCGCTGCCCACCTCCCCAGAGCCTCCCACCGCCTCACCCCGCTCGCTGCCCACCTCAGGACCTACCTCCGCCTGGCAGCTTTCTTCTCACAGTGAGGTTAACCTGCCCATTGCGGGCTGCGTGGTGCATGAGGTCAATGACGTAGCGGTGAGTCTTGCCAGCCACCGGGATCCCATCCACATAGACAAGCTCATCTCCTGGGTGTAGACGGCCATCTCTGTCGGCTGAGCCCATGGCAATGACGGCTCCAATCAAAATCTGGAGAAGCGAGGAGAGAGCATTCACATATGTGTACAGGACACACACTTGGAGAGCAGGTTGTGAGAGCATTCACATATATGCATACAGGACACACACTTGAAGAGCAGGTTGTGAGAGCTGGACAGATGACCTTCCAGGCATCTCTCCTGCTGTCTACTACTTAGAGAAAAACGAGTACCTTGAACTTACTGCTCATTTCCATAAAGTATCCCATGGGGGACACTTGCAGAATGACTCATAAACTGTCAGCCTTAAGGGGAATTACAACTCAAAATACGCTGATGCCAGTTGGCCACCACATTCGACCTCTGCACTGGACTACCGTGGAGACTGGGTGCTGACTCCTGTTCTTAACTGTGTAGCCTTGAATACGGTCTCCTGAGCTTTGCAAACCACACATTTTTCACTTACAAAATGATGATAATAGGACCAGTTCATAGGATTGTTGGGAGAGGCCAGTGAGAACGTGTCTGTAGAGCATTTAACTTTTGCATGACATTGTATGTGTTCAAACGTCAGGGGGACACCTCTTGTTCATCACCATTAATCTCTGATTAAAAAGGTTTTTTTTCCTCGCTTGTTTACTTTGAGACACTGGGGGGGTGGTAAAGCAGAAAGAAAACACAATGATTATTTTTTTTCCTGGCTGATTGACTTAAATACTCCCAGCGGAACTTTCTCTAGCCTCATTTCATTCACTGACCGTTTCCTCCGAACACTGTCTTCCTCTGCACAAAAGAACATTTCCGGATCCATGTGCCCTCCAGTGTTTCTGTGGGAGATACAGCACCACTGGGCCAGGGAGAGAAGAGGTGTGTACTCTGGAACCCAAGGAATTATAATAATACCCTAACTAGGGCGATGATGAAAAGCACTATACACGGCTTCCAAGAACCCCGTGGCATCTCTTCAGTTAGTGTCTCAGAAGGAAGAAAGTGGTGTTCAGTATTTTAGTTTTGCTGTTTAACCTAGAAAATTTGCTCCAAGTCATGCACAGCAGGTCTCGTTTCCTTTTGTCAGTGGCTGAGCTGCATGGCTCTTGAAGGCTGTGTTTCAGCAGCCCAACAGTGTTACAGAGGCCTCACTCCAGGTTTTCAGTCCTTGGCGAAATAATTTCCTTCAAGTCTCAGATTTGTGGATGCCAGCTAGCTTGCAGAACAGCCCCACCTGGCCTGGATGTCTTCAGGCTTGGTACCAGCCGATGCTCTTGAACTTCGTCCTGTTTCTCATGTCTGTCAGTATGGCAACTGGCTCTGAAGGCACAGACCTTTTAGGTACAGGCGACGCTGCAGTTCCAAGGATTTCACAGCTTTACGTGTGCATAGAGGAATGGCCATTTCCTACAGTACCGCTGCAGCCTTCTATTCCTGGAGGGGGTGGGTGAGGAATAGCACTGCTTCCCCTTCTGCTATCACCGGGAAGGCTTGGTGCTTCCTGCCTTAGATACTGACAGTCTTGCTCTTTTCCATAGACCTGCTGTGCCTACTTGCCATAGTCTAGAACATGGGCACACTTCTGACAATCTATTTTCTCTTATTGCCATGCCAACCTGAATGTCTGAATTTCTTTCTAAAGACATTCCAGACTGCTCTTCAAAAGGCTCAGCCCGCTACGGAGTGCTTCAAAGGTTTTCCAAGTGCTTTGTGCAAAAGCCAGTTAAAGTAAGTGTTTATTCTCCACTGCCCCCTGGAAGATGCAAAAGAAGATGCTTCAACCTTTGCATTTCCTGTATAAGGAAGTAGCAAAGTTTACGACTAGTTATATCGAAAACAGTTTATGAACTTTGTGGCTGGCTAATTACCAACTACAAGGCGAAATTCTGCTTCTACCCCGTGAAACTTTGCAGCTGTGAGAGCCTACAGTTACAAAGGGGCCTTATACAAGCATAGGAAAGGTGAGTTACACACTGGGAAATTCGGGTTCCTCTCTTGCTGTGGGAAAATGCAAGGATGTACACATACAATTGAAGCCACATTCTCTGCCACTCATTAAAGGAAACTCCCTGTAAAGCCTTGCTTTCTTGCCACATTTCCATGATAGCAGTATTGTCTTCATCTATTCATTTCAGCAAAGATTCACTGAGGAGTACAGGGATACCATATAGATGCCAGGAATCCACAGTAAAAATAGAAATAATCCTAACCTTATGAAGCCACCATTGTGGTGCATAAGAAATGTAAAACATATGCAACCTATATAGTGTGTTAGAAGACACATACAATAGGAAAAACAGCAGGTGTGGGGGTGTCAACCATGTGGTCCAGGCCATGTTAGGGCTGGTTAGAGTAGGCATCATTGAAAAGTAGACACTTTGAAGTGTAAAATGACAATGAAATGCACTGAACACATTTTCCCCCATTTTTTGTTAACTCTTTGAGGATTTCATACCATCCTTCCAAGATCACCCTCCATTCCTTCACTACCAAACTTTCTTTCTTTCTTTCTTTCTTTCTTTCTTTCTTTCTTTCTTTCTTTCTTTCTTTCTTTCTTTCTTTCTTTCTCTCTCCTCCCTCCTCCCTCCCTCCCTCCCTCCCTTCCTCCCTCCCTCCCTCCCTCCCTCCCTTCCTTCCTTCCTTTCTAAACTCATCAAGAACAGTTGGTGAGGCCCACATAGTCTTGGGTATGTGCCTTCACTGGAGTGAGGTCAGCCCTTCAGAGGCTGCGCCCTTAAAGAAACTGACTCCCCTTTCCTGGCAGCTCTCAACTGCCAACAACTGCAAACAAAGGACTGTGTGGTCCTTTGTTTCTGTCTCCCTTCCTCCAGACTGAGGCTTTGTCTGGCTTGAGCTTGCACAGCCTTTGTGAATGATATCATCATCATCATCATGAGTTCGTATGGGCAACATACGAAACTGGAAAACAGTTTCCTTGCCGCCATCCACTTCCTGTGGCTCTTACAATCTTCCCACCGACTTTTCTGTAATGACAGCTAAACTTTGGGAAGAGGGTGTTATATAGATTCCCCATTTAGAGCTGAGTGTTCCATAGTCTCATCTTCCCCATACTTTGACCAGTTGTGGGTCTCTGTGTTAATTGTCATCTACAAAGCAAAACAAAACAAAAATGAAACAACATAGATTTTCTGATGATAGCTGAGAGATGCACTAATCTGGGGTATAATGATAAGCCATTAGGAATCAGTTTAATCTTACGTCTATTTAGCCACATAACATCTGGAGGCTCTCCTGTAGGCCTAAGGACCTGTCTAGTCACAGGTTCTTAGTGGCTCTAACAATGGTGACAGATATGGTTTTCCACTTGTGGAGCAAGCCTTACATACAAGTAGAAGATGGTTGGTTACTCCCTTCACTCTTGGACCATTATTGCCACAGTGGGCGTGTCTTACTAGGCTGCCTGTTGCAGCACACATGATTCGCAACTGGGTAAAACTGGTGATTACTTTTTTCTTTGGTAGCACATGTAGGTCTCCAAAACTATGAAAGCTAGACAGTAGGGATTCGACTTCCAGGTGAACACCAACTTGATTTCCGTTTGAACACATTTAAAACGTTTCAATTTTAAAGTTCCACATGTTTTTAAGTTCTAGTCTTTCAAATCTTCTTTTACTTTGCTCTTTCAAATCTTGAATACTTGTTTTTTATATAGGCTACTCAATTAACACTTTAAATAAATTCAGCATGGCATTATTTGTTAAGTAGTTCTATATAATTATCTCTATATGTAATTATATTGGAGAATACACACTCTACTTTGTTTTTTAAAAGGGTTGCTGTAGCTATTGACCTGAGCTGTATATTGTGCATTGGGTGGGCATTCTGACCTGACCTGTATCTGGCATGGTGGATAGGCATTGGAGGTGTTTGTCTGTTAAAACATGTTTGCCCCAGCCATCGGGAACAGAAGCTGAACACTCAGGCTGCCATTGCTTCCGATGCTCCTGTTAGCCTTGTTCCTCAAACTGGCAGTTTCATACCTTCGTGTGTGTCCTATTTCACTGGCAATACAGGCTTAGTTCTATGAGTCTCTCTATTTAGAAAAAACCCTGCTTTTAAAAGGCTTTAAATGTGATTTGTATACATACTTGATACATTCTATTATTTCCCATTTGCTGTATTAACTGCAGGGACAGGATAATCTATGACTCCCTCTTGCGCACTATAACTCCCGTTGGCTTCCCAATGTGTGTGTTACAGATTGATGTACGCTCATAAGACCACGTCTCAGGGTACCTGACCCTTTCAGAAAGTTGTTCACCAACTTTAGGGTGTATAGGTATCACCTGTGAGCTTTCAAACTCTTCTAGGTCATGTAGAGTCTTGGGATTCTACAGGCCAGAGATGAGGTATGAGGTTATCTGCTTTGGGGTATGGTCTCAATGTGTAGCCCTGACTGGTGTGAAATTCTCTGTGTAGATCAAACTGGACCCTAACTTACAGAGACATGCTTGTCTCTGCCTTCTGATGTAAAGGTGTGGTCAACACATCTAGCCTGAATGTGAGATTTTGCATGGTTAGCAAGCTCTTGAGCTAGACTGAGCATTTCCTTTTAGTTCAATGGCCACAGGACCTATGGTTTTACTGGTCATATCCCAAACTGTCCCTGCACTGTTCACTCTCCAGGCTTACGGAAACTCGGTCTAGGTTCCCTTATGTATCAAATTTCATCTTCCTTCTGATCTCGTTGACCACTGGCCATATTGGCCAGCCAGTCAGGCCAGCCAATGCAGCCTTGCCACAGCATTATTCCTCTGTCCTTAACTTACTCTTTAGCCAACCCCAGACTCTCTTCAGATTTCCCTTCTCCATGCCCTTATGGGAGCATTCTGACACATCTCTATTGTTCTGGCCTGGAAGGAAAAACTTAGTGGGGAAACAGAAAATCAGGTCTGCAAAGCAGTCCATGCCCTTGGGTCTTTTCAATCTCATATCAAGTGCTCAGCCCTAAAATCATATACATATGGGCCACACTAAATGGACTCACCAGGTTGTATTTATTCGTGTATTTATGTGACAATAATACATAATGGAAAAGAGGCCATGAACCTGAAAGGGAGTGGGAGGTGTGGCATGGGAGGAGCTGAAGGAAAGAGGAGGGGGATGACATAAACACAGGACTCATACACCAAACAAACAAGCCCCACAGAAACAAACCAACGCCACAACCCTACTTTATCTCAAGCTTTGAGGGCGCGGCACAAAACAATGTATGCTGTGAAATAGCAATTTATATTCAGGTCGCTGACATACCAGGGAGCTAGGTGAAAAGATAATGCTAAAAGGAAAACAAGACCCAAAAAAAGCCAAATCATAAATGGCCTCTACAGGCCTTTAATTTATTCTGATCCTTCCTGTACGGGCCACCCAGAGTCAGCACAATCCAGCAGATCTGTCATTGACCAAGTCCCTCAGGTTGCCATAGTGGCAGACACTTCAGGTCGTCTCCTTCTAAAACAACTCTAGGCGTTTGCATCAAACTTCAGTGCAAGTAATAGGTCCATCCAGTGTCTGCCTTTACTTTGGAAGCTTTGTCTCCACACAGGCTTTTCTCCACTGTGATATTTTTTAGATCTGTCCATTTTGATGCCTTTTCATTGCTTTTGAGCTCACAGCAGGAAATCTCATTTTTGTTCCTTTATGGTGTTTTTTTTTCTTCATTTTTCTACTTTTATTATAACTGTGAAAAGTCTCTCTGTCGAGAAAAAATGACTGGACACTTTGCTTGAACAGGAGCCTCCACTGTTCAGTGCTCGTGGAAGCCTAGTTGTTATGTTCAGTGTGAACCCCAGGGCGTCAATACCATTTCAGAAACCTGTTTGATGTGACCTGTGAGATCTTGGTTGATGAACACATCACCTCCCTTGCCTCAAACGCCGTACCACACCAGCAATTAAATGAGGCAGGGGTTGGGTTTGTGTGTTATCTGTGAGCTCAGCAAGTGGAGAAGCAGAAAGGATGGGCTGATAGGAGATTTTTCTTAGAGTAGACCCCTTGATGCTGACACAGTCACTCTCTGAGGTCCGGTACTCTGGCTTTGAAGGCTCACTTTTTAGCCTTTCCTGTGTTGGAATGAGCTAGGCTCCTACTCTGTTGCTGAAGGGCCAAAAATCAGAAACTGCTGCAGGAGTGTGTTGTAAGTCATTTAAATGAAGGAATAAGCAGGAATGAATCCCAATAAGAACAGTAAAGATAACCAGAAATCCACGCAACCTGAGGCTTATATAGATACTTGACGTTTAGCTGCTATGCTGAAGGGGAGGAAGGATTTAGGAACGCAAGGACTGTGTTCAGAGGGCTGGGAATCTGGGAATCTGTGCAAAATAGGCAGAGGGATGTCCCGAGCTAAGTGGGGACTGTGCACATGCACACTGGACCTTGATTCAGTGTGATGTGTACCATTTAGCTAGCCAGTTTTATTGCTTTTGTGTTGGATTAAGTCTAGAACAGTGCCTCTTTAATACATGTTGTGGTGGCCCCCAGCCACAAAATGATTGTGCTGCTGCTTCGTAACTGTAATTTTGCTACTGTTATGAATCATAACGTAAATATTTTATATGCAGGATACCTGACATTTGACTACCAAAGGGGACTCCACCCAAAGGTTGTCGAGAAGAATATCTCGTTTTTTGAGCTCATCAAGTCTACACATATCCCATGACTTTAGCAAGCCTGTCTACCTCTGGAGAAAAGGATATCTGGGGGTGATGTTTATTAACTGGGGTGGTGGTATAGCTCCCAAACAGACAGTCATGAGCCTTTAGGTCCAGCAGATGTCCTGTAATCAGTGGAGTCAACATGTAATAGATGAAAATGCCCTGTAATCAGTGGAGTCAACATGTAATAGATGAAGATGCCCTGTAATCAATGGAGTCAACATGCACATAGATGAAGAAACTCTGGGACATCTCAGCCATTTGCATATGAAATGAGCTGTTGAGGGGAATGAGGCTGGAGGACTGACTGGTCAGGAGACAGAGGATCTCAGAACCAGGTGACAGGGTGGGGACACTGCTGTGAAATGAATATGCTGTCCTTAACTAAGTCCCCAACAACCAAGTCCCTTCAGTAAGTCTGAAGACCCTGGGGGCCTGCATTACCTTGAGGCCCTCTCCCATTCTCAAACACCAAGGGGACCAATGGAACCAATCTTTGGCCACAGTGTCTTCCCATCTTTCTCGGCAGCTGGAGGTTTAGGACACGCTGGGTGACTGTTGCCCATTTTATTCCTGGGAATTAGGAACCCTTTCCCCTGGGGTTTTCTGCAGTAAGAGACCTCATATTACATAGTGGAGCTCCTCTCGTGGGGCAGCAGAAGAGTCTCCAGCATTCTTGTTAGACTCTGTTTGAATGTCTCTAGAGTGAAGGAGCTCACTCTATACAAGGTCATCGACTTGTGTTAGACTGGTCTTTTCTTCTTTTGGGAAACAATCTATTAATATTGCAGACAAGACTGATGGCCATAGACATTAATTTAAAACTTGTTACAGTCCAAGCACCAAGACTTTTAACGTATGCCATCATTACTCCTTAAATCCATTCTGTGGGATGGTAATTCTGGCTGCCCTCATCTTGCAGGTGATAAAAGTGAGGCTTCCAGTCTGGTGTCTCATGTGAGCTAGGGTGAGATGGGCTCACACTACCGTTGCCTCCTCGAGCACCATTTAAGAAATATCCTTACAATGAGTGCTTCATGAAGATATTTTAATGTGAGGTCACAAATCTAGGTTCACTATGTTTTCTGTATATCAGTGAGTGCTGGAGCTTATGCTTTCATTCTGACTATGTACATTCATATAACCATATGCACACATTAACATAAAATTACTACAGAATCACTCTTAAATTCCTACCTAGTATTCTTTCAACTGCTGCTGACCTCATGAAAATATTATTTTCATAATGTCTTAATTCAGTTTGGCTCAGATTTTTTTAGCAAAGAATTTGATTTTACATCTATGTTTTCTACCCCTCATTGCTTTTTTTTGCAAGCATATATGATTCTGTGGTTTCCAGCCACCTGTCCTGCCATGTTTTATAACTGCCTCTTACAGAATCCCATGTTGCAGAACCATTAAATAATCGAACTACTCAGGAAGAACCATACCATTCTTAGAAACAGCAGCATCACTCCCAATGATGCTTGTATTTGGTGAGGTATTGTTAGAGAACTACAAGAGTGAGAGAGAACAGACTGCAGTCTTCTTTGTGTTCTAGACATTTCCTTTTGGATATCACACCGAATGATGAATGATATTCTCCCTGCTGTCTGTACACATAACAGTCATGTGTGGATATAAAGTGGGTTTGACTTACAGGCTGTCCAGGTTCGTCTCCCCCGAGGATTCTGAAGCCAAATCCAGACTCCATCCTTCGAAGGTGGACGTCCAGTTCCTTGTAGTCTGGACCTGGCACGAAGGAAATCCCACTGAGTAATAGATACTGCCGCTTCCCATCTCCCGAGGAGCAGGACGCACCAATGATAAATTAATTTTGTGGATGTGGTTAATGAGAGTGCCGTTAGTCGATGAAAAGCACAGAGGATAGAAAGGGGGTGGTGGCAAACAGGGCACACCCTAAGTGTGCGTAGTCCCCAGCATGGTGGTGAGCATCCGAGGGTGTTTGCTAGAGCATCGCCCACAGGTTAGAGATCACATGACTTTCGGAGTGAAAGAAGTTGATGGTTGGATGACTTAATTTTCCTGAGAGCCTTTGGATTGCCTTGAAGGAGCTGGTTTGTGACTTTGAGGATGTTTGCTCTGATTGTCTCAGAAAGGAGTGAGAGAGCAGAGGGTGAAACCTGCATGTGCCTGTAAGTACTGCCTAGTAAGCTACCGCCGTCGGTCTACAATCTGATGTATCCAGCGCTGGCCATTGCTGCGTGTGTGTGCGCACGGGCGTGTGAGTGTATGCACACGCACGTGTAAGTGTGTGTGCACACATGTGTGAGTGTGTATGTGTGCATGCATAGGGTATAATTTATGTCTTTTGGGCATGCTACTTTAGTCTCTCCATAAGGTACAGGTAGAACTCTATCCAAGCCCAAGAAGAATTTCACCCCCAGATATTTTTTAATGTGAAAGCCATTATGGACTACTGATTCCATCAACATCTTCAAAGTGAACTAGAGAAGGGATGCCCATCTAAAGTTGGACCAACAGAACAAAAATGGACCTTTACAAGAAATGGAAAACTTCTGAAAGATATTTATTTTGTCACATACCTCCTTTTATGTCATTGTAATGGGAATGTGGGTTTTCATACCTGTTGGCATTTCAGGACAACCATCTTTGGGAAGAATATTTATTATACTGTTTTTGACTAAAGAAATATTTAGCAATTTCTGGGCTTTAGCGGTTTAAAGGTAGTATTAGGAACAAGCATTCAATAAAATTCCCCTCGCTTAAGTGGCACGGTTTTGGAAATTAGGATGAGATTTCAGAGAAGAATCTCCTGGGACAAAAAGTAAAATTTTGAAAACACCAAGCCACTTAAATATGGAGTATTAGTTACAGTAGACAGGGGCTCACTGAGTGATAGCCATGTATCTCTCCCAGGCTCATTGTTAAAGGACGAACACAGCATGCTAAATGCTGCCATTCTAGGCTAGCTTTATACCCAACCACCTGAGCTGCTTCCAGTGACCAATGCAGGGCAAGCCATCCATTTCTGACATGTGGGCAATGATGGCTCCCTGGTGCTCTCTTAAGAGAGCTGCCCTGGCTCACAGGCACTCCACACTCGTATGCTGTGCAATGCTCACAAGCCTCTGTGTCTGTTGTGACCAAGCACACAGTGAAGCGCTTTCCCATTCAACTACTAACACGTGCAAAGTGGAGTAACCATCAGACTTCCACTAGTCAGCCTGCATAAACTTCACAATCATCCGTGTTTTAAAGATGGGAAAGCCTAGATGTGTCCAATTATTAGTTAGAATCAGGTGGCAAAGAAAAGATGAAAACTTTGCTCAACACTATAACAAAGTGATTCGTAAACTCAGTAAGCCTTTGGGCATCTGGAGGCAGGTGGACAGTCCTATAAAACCGTTGCAGTATTTTTCCAAGGGGTGGAGAAATGCAAGGAGATAGAGCTGGTTAGGATATAACTATTCATTCTAATCTCCTGTCTGGAAACATGAGAAATACAAAAGTCAGGCGTCAGCGTTTCTGTTTTTAAGGAGACAGAACTTTTAACCTACTTCTCCTCGCTCTTGCATGACTGATGTGCACCCATGAGTGGAAAATTGCTCCTTCAGTGAGTTGGTGCCTGTGCATACTGCTAGGGGAACTCCAAAAGGGCTTTACTGTATGCTACATCTCATTTCTTAAGAGATTTTTCCTATAGGAAAAGGCCAAAAATAGGACAGTCTCAGCAATGAAGTTCTGAGATGTGTCAAGGTATGAGGAGTTTGGTTTATTTATATTTATTTATTTATTTTGTTTTTTTCGAGATAGGGTTTCTCTGTATTGCTTTAGAGGTTGTCCTGGAACTCGCTCTGTAGACCAGGCTGGCCTCGAACTCACAGAGATCCCCCTGCCTCCCCAGTGCTGGGACTAAAGGCATGCGCCACCAACGTCCGGCTCGAGGAGTTTGGCTTATGTTAGAGAGTATTGCTGTTGTTCAATGTAAAAGATTTTCATTAGAAAATGACTCAATTTTTTAAAGTGAAAAAAATGTCTAGATTTTATCTGGTTAATTTGTTTAATTCTGAAAAATGGAGACATGAGAAAGGTGCTCACCCTCCTTTTACTTTCTAATGTACCCTTTCCTGACAATTAGAAGCCTGCGACTTAAAAAAAAAAGTGTGTGAGTGTGTGTGTGTGTGTGTGTGTGTGTGTGTGCTTACACGCTACTGCCTGCAGAGGCCCAAACATAGCCTTCTGTCCCCCAGAGCTAGAGTTACAGGCGCTGTGAGCCACTTGATGTGGGTGCTGGGAACAAAACTTAGGTCCCCAGGAGAGCTAGTGCTCTTAGCTGCTAAGGCATCTGTCCAGCCCCATGAGTTCTGGCTATTGCTCTGAGCTGCTGTGTGTGTGTGTTCTTCGAAGAAGGTGTGAGCAACATGGCATCCAAGTAAGGCAGAGCCGGAGAAGGGTCACCAGACAAGCATGCCAGCAGATGAAACTTACTCATCACCAGACAAGCATGCCAGCAAATGTGACTTATTAATTTTTTTGTTGTTAATTTTGCAGGCTGCAGGGCTAGAAACTTTAGGGACACAATTAGTGGGAAAATAGTTTAAATGATAGATTGTCTTAAGTGGTTAATTTTTATTTTTAAAAAGAGCGTTTAGAAAGATAATTTTTCTTTTGTTCCTTTTTCCTCCTTTCTGAGTCTGGCCTTGCAAAGCAACTAAAATTACATGTACAAAGATAGGAAGCATTGTTCTTCCTCCTCCTTGGTTGGTTAAGAAAGAGCTGATGTTCTCAAGACCTCATCTTGGCTGCTCTCCTAACCTGATGATGGGCTCAATTACTGCATCATGTTTTATCTTTCCCCTTATTAATGTAAGTCATCTGGGAGCAAACACTTCCTCCTTTACCACTGCAGTTAAGTAGCTAATCATCCCAACCTCTATCTTGTCTAAAGTAAACCATGCACTTGGGAGCTTATTAGATAATGGAGCCTGAAAGGGAACTCATCTGTCCTGAGTAACTTAGGGCGTCACTCAACCGTGCCCTGACAGCCTTGTCATTTCTGATTCCTTGTTTGTTTTCTTTCCTTCTTTTCCCTTTTAGAAGGACTGTGGGGGGCTCTTCAGATGCTGCCTTCAATGATTAGCCTTGGCCAGTGCTATGTCTTGCATAGAGGCTAGGTCCCAGTAGACACAGGCATTAAGAAACAAAGCATTTCATGGCACTCGTCTCTGATGGGATCCTGTATGACCTTTGAGGCAAGCTAGTGAGAGGGAATGAATAAGCCCTAACTTATCCTGGGTTCATACCAGTAACATAAAAGCTTACATTCAAAGCCTCACAATCAAAGCAAGGCGCGGTGGTGCACGCTTCAATCCCAGCACTTGGGAAGCAGATGCAGGTCAATCAATGCGGGCTCAAGACACAAGACAGGTGCATAGTGAGACTCAGTCTCAAAAGAAAAAAGTAGTAAACAGTCGTTATCAGCACAACTCCCCTCATATTAAAGGACAATGGCATTTGAAAATCTGACTCCTGTTTGCACTAAGATTGCTGAAGACTTAACATGCAGTACGAGCGTAAGCCTTTGCAGAGCATGGTTCTAGCATAGCATTTAGGGAAAAGGCTCAATGATCAAACACAACTGACCAATTTTATGAATGGATTCAGTCTTCAAAACTGCAAAGAACAGCATGGGTTACTATTATAACTGCCAGCTAAATTTTGGTAGTTAAGCCCTTTCACGTGTTAGTTGAAACATAAGCAGCATGGCTTATCACATTTGGCACAAAAACCTCTATTTACTTATTTTCCCTATTGAAGAGTTGCTGTTTCGGCTTTCTCTTGTAAAGGGATCTAAGGAAGACTGAGGAAGGAATGAAGGATTGAACATCCCCATGGTTGGGGATGTTCAAGCTCTCTAGATACTGAGTGGGTTAAAGAAGAATTAGTTGCTTTTGATCACCGAATCAAACATTACAGATAAGTAGCTGATACTTTTGGGTCTAGAAGAATCTCTCTTCACCTTCCCCATTTATTCCTTTGGTGATATGACGGTAGCCCAGCATACTGTGACCATAATAGAAGCCGTCACCTCTCTGGTTCTCTTCTGTGGCCTGCAGACAACTCAGATTTCTTCAGTCCTAAATATTGCCTTCTCCCTATCACACCTGCTCTTCTCTCCCAGAAATCTAGTCTTTGCTCCATCTCTGACCTCAGTCTTGGCCAGGCTGGTTTCAACTCTCTGATTACTGAATTCCTTCCTTTCTTTTTCCTCCTCTTCCCTCCTCCCCTCCTCTCTCCTCCTCTCTCCTCCCCTCTCCTCTCCTCCCCTCTCCTCTCCTTCTCTCCTCTCCCCTCTCCTCCCCTCTCCTCTCCTTCTCTCCTCTCCCCTTCCCTCCTCCTCCCCTCCCCTCCCCTCTCCTCTCCTCCCCTCCTTTCCCCTTCCCTCCCCTCCCCTCCTCTCCCCGCCTCTCCTCCTCCCCTCCCCCTTCTCCCTTCCTCCTCTCCTCCCCTCCTCCCTTCTTCTCCCTCCTCACCATTCTTTTCCTTGTTGAGACAGGATATTTCTACAAGACCCTAGCCGTCCTGGAGCTAACTATGTAGGCCTGGTTGGCCTTGAACTAAGAGAGATTTGCCTGCCTCTACTTCCCTGGTGTTGGGATTAAAACCGTGTACCACCATGCCTGGCTTGATTACTGAATTCTTTAAGGATCTTTTAACACTTTAATAACAAACTTAATAGACTTTTTCTTCTTTCATTTGATTGATTTTTGTATCTTGCTGATAATGCTGCTGATTGGACTTTTATGATCCTGGATTCTTAAAAAGCACCCTAAAGAAGACAAGGTTTTCTTTGCAAGGGGATTCTGTGGTACTCTACAGCTGGGCTCATTTTGTCTGGCAGTTTTGTCTTTAATAATTTGATAAACATGTGAGAAATTTTATCATATGTTTATTGGATATAATTATAATTTTCTATGATTTTTTTGATATGCACACTTAACAAAATATTTGAATTGGTTCTTTTTGAAACTCTGAGTTACACATTAGAATAAAGTATTCAAACTATAACTTTATCTTTTGTATTTTAAATGTAAATATGTACATCTTTACATTTGTACTTTGTACATATATGAAGATAATCTAAGCTATTGGGCAACCCTTTTATTCCTGAATAAAATAGATTTAGACATTGGGAATTTTCAAGAAATACATTTTCTGAGGCTAGTTTAAGTGAGCTTTAGATTTCCTGATTCCATTTTTTAACCATAATTACTAGGCCTCATTTTCTCCCTGGGTATAAGATATTCTTAAATATTACAAGGATTTTACAGCCAGTGTCTCAATCAAATGAAAGAGCAACTATACTCTAAAGATTTCAGACCAAGCTAAACAATTCCTTCGGACATTATTTGCATGCTGAGTAGCATCTTCCATGTTTTGTACACAGTCAGAAGAATGGCACAGAAACTCAGGGAATGGATGATCTCCAGTGCACACATTCCCCAAAGGGGTGTTAGAGCACACTGGGATGGATGATGAGTTGTCATCATGGAGACATACTACAGATGTACACTGAAGCCCACAGCCAGAAACAGAGCTGTTACTAAGAAGCACACCTTTCTGCAATGCCCTGAGTGTCCAGAATTCCCATCTAGCAGGCTAACCAGCTGTTAAGAGTGTTTCATTAGCAACTGGACGAGGAAAGTAAGTCTAGGTCTTCTTTTTCCTCCTTCATGTCTACAACGATGTTAAATATTTTAGCTTACATCACAAATGATAATGTATTTTTGGAATAGATAAGCAAAAGGAAATCCAAGTAAAATTCTTAAGATATTTCTTAAGTTCTTAAACTAGAAGCTATGATATTGTACACTAACTCAAAATAGTACCAAAACATAGCATTTTGTAATTGGGATTATTTTTTTGAAAAATATTTAGCTTTCCTCTCTTGAGATAATCTATCTTCTTGTTTCCATTTATCTTGTTTAGCAAGATCCAATTTAAATAAAATTTAAATTATAGAAGTTATCTAATATTGCCAAGCAACCACTTTAAAAATAGTTTAACAAATAATATCAATTTTAATAACATTTTAACTTAATTATCAAAACACCATCTGTTCTGTCTGGTTTTGTGTTAACTTGACACAAGCTAGAGTCATCAGAGAGGAAGGAGCCTCAGCTGAGGAAATGCCTCCATGAGATCCAAATGTAAGGCATTTTCTCAATTAATGATCAGTGTGGGAGGGCCCAGGCCATGGTTGGTGGTGCTTGGGCTGGTGGTCCTGGGTTCTATAAGAAGGTGGGTTGAGTAAGCCATGAGGAACAAGCTAGTAAGTAGATCCCCTCCATAGCCTCTACATCAGCTCCTGTCTCCAGGATCCTGCCCTGTTTGAGCTCCTGTCCTGACTTCCTTTGGTGATGAACAGTGATGTGGAAGTATAAACTGAATTAACCCTCCCCTCCCCAACTTGTTTTTGGGTCATGGTGTTTCATCACAGCAATAGAAACCCTAACTGTGACACAATCTTAACATAAAAGAATTAACAAGGCTTATTTTTGTACTAAGTCTTTGAAATCCAGTGTGGATTTCACAAACATTTGATAATACATCTAAATTTGCATTTTAGTACCTAGTGGCTGCTCTTCTGGACAGGACAGATCTATCTAGTCTTACGGTTTTCTTTGACAGTTGGTTTCTAAGTGTAGTCTTTTGGTAACTTTTCATTAATATTTGTCTTTGGTTTGCAAGCATCCAGACCCACCATGATGAGGCTTACCCTCTATCTTGAACACATGTGATGTAGGTAAATTATTATCACAGTGAATATTACATAGTGAAAAGTTGATACCACTCAGGAGAATGACTGGTCACACAAAGTGGAAGACATGTATTCACAGAACTGTGAACTCTGAATACTTGCCAGAGGAATCCATTCGAAAACTGGTCCTGGGTGGCACTTGTTCTGGATGGGAAAATGGGGAATTAAAGTTGAAATTCATTGATGGCATTTGAAAATTCGTTTTTATTTTCTTTTTGTTGATACAATAATTTCCCCAACCCAAATCATATGTGCATGTTTATTTTTTTCACTTTGAAATTGGTGGATAGATTTACCTGCCTATATGTATGTATGTTCATGTATTCTCACATACATGAAAATAGAAAAATATGGATTCTTTTATCAGCATGGATAACACCATTTCCAAATCTTACTACGTTTTTATTTTCACTATAAGAATATTTACTTGGAAATATATCAATTCAGAACCTGAAATCTATGCAGCAAGAGGTCTTGAAAATCATATTATGAAGCTTTTTCATAAATCACTAAGATAAAAGTAAAAATTTCAGCCTATGATCACACTGATTTAGTATCAATCCAGATGTTTTGAGATTTCTAATAATTTTTATAGCTGAGGTTATGTCCAAGTAGCTGAGTTAAACTGGTTCATTCTGGCAACAGAGAGCCTTCATGAGAATTATGAAGTATGTCTAACAACATAAATTCATTAACATCAACATGAAACATCTTTTAAGTGTAGGAATGTTCATATTTCAAGTTCTAGGACCCTAGAATCCCTGATTCTCCGTGTTGGAAGTATTTGGAGACTAGGTGCTCTCATGGGTTAAGATTTATTTATAAGGGGTAAATATGGACGCATGCAGGTCTACCCTACCTCTTCACAGCCATACTTAAGAAATAGAGATGGTATCTGTAACTCCTGAGCATATAGAAAACGACATTACTCTGTTTTATTACTGGAGTGACATTATTTGAGTTTCCTTCTGCTTTTCCAAGCTATTGTACCACAGAGGGAGGAAGAGACAGGTTGCAAGGCTGTGTGAAGGTCTGAAAACACTTCATTTGTGTAGAAGTTAGGTAAGCCCAGGGCGCTAAGAGACGCACATCCCTCACTCTGTACTTCACCCCAGACAACTCTTCAAGATCACGTCTCAGGAAAAGCTGCGTGAAAATATCCCTTTGCTTTTAATTTGCTTGTGATTAAAACTCACTATCCAATCATGTGTTCTCTCTTTACTATTACCGTGGAAACACCACCCACACTCTTTTGTTGTTACAATTTCCATCTTTGCCTTCTTTCTTTCCTTTATCCTTTCAGACAAGGAAGGCTATGTGTCTCAGGTTGACCTCCAACTCTGGGCTTTCCTGCTTCAGTGTCTCAGGTGTCAAGACCAGATGTGTCTGCTATCACTCCCTATTCACATGGTATAATTTCTTTTTACAATATTCAAATATTCATTATCTTCCTTTATTGTTCTGTCCTTAGACACATTCCTAAACCATATGGTGGGGTTTAATCTGGAACATGCAGAAGTCATATGTATATTGACCCTTTGTCAATAAGCACCCAAGAAAACAAGGATTATGTTAGGATGAGTTGTTGAGATCTATCTGAGAGTGGCAGGATATTTCTGCCTTTATGACAAACTTAATATATCTAATCATACTATCAAAATTAAAAAGTTACCAAATCCTTTTAGGGCAGAAGGCATACCATCGATAAAATAATTATAAGTTTTTCTTTCAAGAAGCAAACCTGCTTATGTTTAGTGTGCAAGTCAGTTTTAAGTTGGGATACATTGTTATTACAGTCATGCAAATGATCATATAAATGATTATTTATTAGAGAGGGGTCAAATTAAGAGTATTCAAGTAGATTGAAGAAATTTATCACAGAACATCTCAATGTTAGGCTACCATCATTTTATGATAGGGTAATATTATATGGAGCACTGTAAATACTGGTGTTTTATCAACAAATTAAAAAATATTGCAGTGAGATTATATTGTGCCAATTTGGAGCTCTGTTCATTTTGCACAGTGAGCTAGTTTTGATTAATGGGGCTTTCTATGTAGGTGGACTTTTCTCTGGCCTCTGCATCTCGCTGGTGACTCCTCCTTTCTTCTCAGAGCTCTCTGTCCCCAGAAGTCCCACCTCATCTCTTCCTGCCTAGCTAATGGCCTTTCAGCTCTTTATTAGCCAATCACACAGTGTAAAGGGACATTCCACCACAGGGCACAGTGACCATGCCTGCCAGGGAAGCTGGATGGAGACAAATTTGTTTTCTAGCAGAGCATTCCTTTGTAAGTCTTGTTTCCTCTGGCTGGCTAGGATCTTGATTGAGAAATATTCTGTCATTGGAAAGGTAGACTCACGTCAAGGACAGGAAAATACTGTCTTCCAAACACTCCCACTAGTGCAACACTGACACTTTAAGCTATCATTATCTTACTAGGACTTACTTGCTATGTAGCAATTACATTCCACTTACTGAAGCCCTGGTGGTCTCGTATTTATTCATGAAAATACTTTGTGTTACACTGGGAATCTGCACTACCGACACTCTGACACTGAGTTCTGAGTCTAGTTTTCACAATTTTCTGACCTTGTACCCTTTATCTAATTGCAGAGGCACAGACTTTTAAATTACTGAATAAAGTAAATTTAGAAGCTATGGGATTATGTCTAATTCCCAAAACAGGGAAAATGTGCTGTAGCTTAATTTCCAATTTTAAAAGGAAGCTGATAGAAATATAGATGTTATCATAGTTTTCTACACAGCCACCCAAAGATACTATTTTTGAAAGCACATTCCTGAACTCATCAAGGTCTACCTACCAAAAAATGGCAAACACAGCTTTAATGGATTTATCGACCTCATTTTCCAAAATGTTACAAAGGCAAAGTGGTATATTAGAGGCACCAACTAAAAGACAGCTCCTCACACACAGGTCAGATCATAAACATAAATCACACCAAGGATAGAGTGATAAAAGGCAGAGAAAATTTTCCTTTACAGTCCAGTTGAGGGTATTAAAATGATAATGTGCAATATCTTCTCACTTTTATGATCCTAATGGTAAGTCACACGTAAGAGTGTCCCAACACTTTTTACATCTCATCTTAATATTTCACTACAATAAGATTATGTTTGAAAGAACACAGGTGAGAGATAAATTAATTAAGCCTATAGGACACCATCACCGTCCAGGCAATTCAGGCCAGGGCTAAACCCCACGTTTACTTGCAAGCATGCTGCTTGTACGGAAAGATGCACTTTCATGATTACTCAAATACCTGCCTGTGTTTGTGGCATTCATTTCTAGCATACAATACGAAGTCCTGAATCACATGGTTGTGGAGTCAGGCCAGCTCAAGGACTCTCATGGGCTTCTGGGCTCTCATCCTGGTCATGGGGCAGCTGTTTCATCACTTTCCTGACTCTCCGGGGGGTGTGCTGTGGCAGACACGTCATTTTCTACTCCACCCTTCCAAATGCTTCTGTGATTAGGATGCGAGGTGCCCAAACTCCAACCTTTGTTCACTGATAACAAGGAAGGAGCAGCTGGAGGGCCAGCGTTGGCCTGTGACCAATATGAACTGGGTGCTGGAAGACTTCAATAATGTGCAACAATGGGAAAGGATAGAGGCCATGGTGTGAGACCATATGTCAGCCTTTGATCTGTTACACATTATAGTTTTATTGCAGGTGTAGTGCTGGAAGACAATTTGCATCAGGACATTTGATTGCTGCCCTTGCTGAGACCTTCGTGGTTTATTGTGGTCCCTAATCTCCGCAAAGGAAAGTGAATGGTGTAGGATGATAGTAGAGAAATTCAAGAGGAATTTCTGTTTTAAGGAGGCTGTACCTTCAGATACATCAGACAGACAGGCCCTTGACATGTTTATGAGCGTACTCTTGAGTGATGTATTACTGAGAATGAGTGTGGATATGTTGAACCTCTTAAATCGTTATTTATAATAACCAAGGTTCAATGTGAAGAGAAAAAAAGTTTGGGTAACTTCAGTGGTAATTCACTTTAGCCTCAAAGCAGGGGGCAGACAGTGAGTGGGGAGTCAGAGAGTGAGGAGTTTTCTTCCTTTCCCTGCTTGGGGCCTGCTCCTCTGCTTCCCCTGAGGAACACACTCAGAAAATGCTTGATGTTGAGGACAAAGTGAGCTGCATCCACTCTCTTTGGGAAGCTTTGCATAGTGCCTTGCCTGATCTCAGAAACAGGAGATGTGATGGGCATCTATTTGCTGTTGTCTGGATAGAATCTCTCCTAGGGGCCAGGGGCAGGCAAGACTAAGTCCTTTTCAGTGAGGTGATTGCTGCAATGTTGAATTGGACTTAGTCTATGGGATAGAAGGTGAATGGCATGGTCTGATACTTACCTGTGTGGAACCTCCTAACCCTGTTTTTCTCTACTTAAGTTTGCCGAGTTCAAGATCGGAACATGTCTACAATTTCTAGATTGGGCGAGTTCATTGGAAATTTGACTACTAAAACAAGCTGTTGCAAAAGTCATCCTAAAGCTAGTTAGAGAAAGACCTTGTAGAGGCAAAAACTTGATTTGTTAAATAAGTATTTGACTAACTGAAAACAAAACATTTTTTCTCAGTGGATGCTAAGACTTTTTATCCTCACTATGTACATTAGGCATAGACTTTTCTTAGCCACAATGGCTATTTCTTGAATAGATTGTTTAATAAAGGGAAATTATATAATTTACCACTCAAATGAAGATGGTCTAGAGAGTGACAGGGAAACTATTAGTAATCATAACAGGACAATCAAGACCAGGAAACCCCAGGAAAGTCTCAGGTATAGCTATCCCAGATGGTCGCATTGGTAACTAGATCATTAAAACCCATTTCCCATTATATCAGAAATACTGGCCTGGAAGAAGGACACCATGATGTTAGTGCTGTGTTCTGTAAGAGAGTCTTGCCCAGAAATTGTTTTCCTGTGTGTTTCACCATAGTTTTCTAATAAGTAGGGACTATTTCTTGTGACTTTTCTCTCTTGAGTGTCTTCATATATTCTTGTTGATTGAAGTGGAGCCTTGGGGAGCCACCTCTGGGCACCAGGCCTAGTGCCCTCAGATCAAAGGCACTGACTACCTTCTGAGTGGGGAATCTTCTTTTCTCTGTCCTGTTTCTGTTGTCACCTCATCTTAGAACCTCTCATGAAGGTCAGAGGAGGTAGTGGCTTCCTATCAGGGGTGTGCACCTGCCGTGTGTGTCTACTAGCCTATGGTTGTATTTTTTGTTTGTTTAAAAATCACATTTTCCCAAGGAACACATCTTTGTTAAGATGTGCACATACATTAAACTGTCAGATTAATCTAGTTAGGAGCCAAATGAGGCATGACAGCTTTTACATCATTTGATAAATTCCCATCATTTACAGGGGGCGGTGGTGACTTGAATCCAAATAGTCCTTTACAGTTTTGACAGAACAAACATTCCATAGCTCTGTAGAGCCCACTTGTAGGTGAGGGGGGCAGCGTTTGATTTGGCAACTGCACCCCAGTTCAAGTATGAGTGTAAAATCTCGGTGGCTCTGGCAGGGTTGTGGGGATGGGGTTGACACTAGGATTTCAGCAAACAGGGAAACATCAAAGGCCTCACACATCATAGCAGGGTTCTTCCACGCCCCCGCACCCACCCATGCTGTCTTCTCCAGGGAGAGTCTTACAGGCAGAAGTATCAGCTAGCTCCAAACGGAAACCTTGTGAACACAGTTAAAGGGGCCATCTGTGCACAGAGGGTGTGCAGTCAGAGCTGGGAGTGTGGCCTTTGAAGGCGAGGGGTTTCCAATCAGTAGTCAAGTTTGACATAGCATTGCTGTAGCTATTTGGGAGGCTGAGGCGGCAAGCTGCCTGCTTAAAGCTAACTTGGGAAATTCTGTGAAACCGTCGAAATAAATAAAAACAGTATTACTCTAAAAATGTAGGTGAGAGAATAAAACGTTTCCATACTTGGAAATGAACAATGTAGAGAGGGCCAAAGGCTGTTTGCTTCTTTCAAGAGGCTGCTAGGGCCGAACAAGGAGCCGCGGAGTGAGTAGCCGCAGAGCGAGCATGGAAAGTGGCCAGTGCTCCTTCGGCTCCTCCACCTTCTGGGACAGAGGCTTTCTTACCTTCACACGATTTCTGTGTCCCATTCCCACTCCACTGAGTGTTATGAAGCAACACAGCAGCAGGGAGGCTTCCTGAGAGGTGTGACCTGAAGACACGCCTGTGACCTTGAAACTTGGGAGCGTGGATGGACACGGGACATGGGAGTGCGAGCTCCGCGGTGGTGTGGGGACAGGCTTTGGGGGAGGGAACAGTGAGGTTTGGTATCGCTGCTGCAGCAGCAGAGGAATAAAGAGCTTCTGTGGGCCGCAGAGAGAGACACCGGGGCTTCCGGTGCCTGCTTTGCTCGGGCTGGGGATGCTCCAGGTGAGGAGGGAAGAGGCAATGAACAGAAATGGTACTGCAGTGCTAGGTTATAGAAATCCTTATTGTTTTAGGGTCAAGGGAGGGTCTTGTTCAGAAACTGGGTGCATGGCTGTCTCAACAGAAGATGTGGAACCGCTGTCCTCTGTCCCAAATCAGCCGGCACTGCATTGTTCTGGGAGCTGCTCAAGGGTGGAAGCGAAGGACTAGCAAAGGCACAAAGCCGGAGAAGCTGCTCGCCACAGCGGTGAATGCTGCCCAAGCTTGCTCGCCACAGCCGTGGATGCAGCCCAAGCTTGCTCGCCACAGCGGTGGATGCAGCCCAAGCTTGCTCGCCACAGCCGTGGATGCAGCCCAAGCTTGCTCGCCACAGCCGTGGATGCAGCCCAAGCTTGCTCGCCACAGCGGTGAATGCTGCCCAAGCTTGCTCGCCACAGCCGTGGATGCGGCCCAAGCTTGCTCGCCACAGCGGTGAATGCTGCCCAAGCTTGCTCGCCACAGCGGTGAATGCTGCCCAAGCTTGCTCGCCACAGCCGTGGATGCAGCCCAAGCTCACCACAGCCGTGGATGCGGCCCAAGCATGCAGTGAGTCCTGGACACGAGGGTAATACTTTAGCCCTGCCATGTGCTTTGCCATCCAAGTAGGAACATCACCGTGTATTGCTCCTGTGAGAGCCGGGGGTATACTGTTCACTTCCGGTGTCTTGCCACAGTGCTGAGAGCAACGTGGGCATTCAGTAATTATTTGGCTATTGAAACTTAAATATAGTAAGGGCTGGGCTGATGTCTTTATGTGTATCCACTTTAATGAACACCAGTACCCCAAATTTACACCCTTAGTTATTCAGTTATACTGCTCGGGAGTTACTGGAGTAGATGCTCCAAGCACACAACCCTCTAAAGACATTTCAGTCATGTCCTCAGAGAGGGAAGAAGGAAATGCAGGAACTTGGATGTAACTGATGATTGAAAAGTGTGTGCGTGTGCAGGCTCACTTTGATGAAAATGATCTCAATGGCCTGCTGTCCTAACTATTTTTTCCACCCAAATTACTTCTACAAAATGTTACAGAGGATGGGGAAAAGGTATTGTGTTCGCTTCCCCCTTACCAGCTGGGTGCACAATTCTCAGCCCCCGAACTCATCAAAGGACTAAGCGGATTCAAGACCCTGTGAGGCCACACACAATGTAAAGCTTCCTATTCATGCTTCAGATGATGAAGTTAGAAGCCATATGTTGGAGGCGGGCAGGTAAAGCAAAGGGAACCAGCAGACTGTGAAGGAAGCGCCAGGGACCAAAGCCTTTGCAATTAAACTTGATTTCTCTATCTCTGCTCAGGTTCTTAGTAGTCAGGGTTGTGTTTTATACACCCCTGTCATTTAGTTTCCACGGAGGAGGTGACCTGTACAATGTACATTTGATATTAAAAGCTCAAATAATTCCAAAGGCCTTCCAGTAGGGAGGCAGGCACCTGGGTACATTAAATGGTAGCAGAAGATTCAGGCCTTGAATGATTGGCATCTGCTTCTCCCTGGTTTGGGGACGAATTGATTCATAACTCTGAGTTGGGAAAGCTTTCCTGAAATTTTATTTTACTCAAGGCCTGAACTTCTCCAAGCCTCTAGGCTCTAAGACAACAAAATGTAAGCTTTGGATTCTAGGTCAGGTTGAATGGATTAGAAGTTCCAAGCCTTATTTTATTTTATTTGGTGACTTTAACCAAACTAGCAACCCCACTCCATCCTCGTTTCTTTAGGAGCTTAGGGGCAAAAGTAGGAAATGCAATTTATACCCCAAAGATACTTTTAGAATCAACAGGTTCTTTACATCAAGAGTGGAAAGATTAGTTAGATAGGAAGGCACTAAATTCTGTTACACGTTAATGTAGCTATTCATAATATATATTTAAAATTAGGTGAAAGACAGGATTTTAAGTGTTCTTATTATAGCTATCCTTTCCTTGATATGCTAATTATCCTGATTTGATCATCTACAACTTATACACGTATGGAAATATCACATTGTACCCCCATTAAAATTAAAGCATTGCTAATTAAAATGCAATTATACAAAAGAGAAGTCAGGCTTTAAGGGCAATTGTGGAGCAGCTGTCCTACTTTGGAGAAACCTTTAGACCTCGGAAGGTAAACTCATGCCGGATTATTCAGCCCCCACTATCAATGTACCCTTACTTTACAAGGCTTCCACTTACGCCTACTTTCATAAATGGCTCTCGATTTCTCATAGAGCTCATATGGGTCAGGCTTCCGTGGGTCAAAGGCCTCTGTTGAGTCAGGAAAGGAGCCCCTGTGAAGGGCAGGTGGGAAGGGCAGGTTCTGTGGGACGGCTGGAGCAGATAAACTTGTTTGAGGACTGCCTTGATTCTCCCAGCGGTCCATCATCTGAAAGAAAAGGAGAACAGAGAAATGACTGATGGTGGACTCAGCATAGATACTTCCCTTGCTGCCTTTACAAAGACTTTCTTGGCTTGTGAACTTTGGTCCTCAAGAAGACTTTGGTACATCATCTGCCTCGAAGGCAAATCATCTCTATTTCTATGTAAGAATGCAGCGTAGACGGCTCTGAGCCAAAGTAGTGCCTAGGGTTTGAATGCAGCCTACATAACCTTTGACCAACTCATCATTTCTCTGATGGTTTTCCTTATAAAATATGGCGCGTATCCCAGGGCCATTTATGTGCTTATGTTCAGTAAGAGGGTAATATTTTTTCTTTTCTGAAGATGGTCCCAATTTATTATACGACTTCTCTAAAAAGGAAATGAAGTAGACAGTAGGTGCTCACTTAACACCTGGGCACATCCTAACCCCCTCTTGCAGCCAAACATTCTGTCACTTCCCCTACAGTTTGTACACATAGGAGCATCTGGGATCCCTACATTCTTCCAGGGAGTCTTATTCACTGTGGGTGTGGTAATGTCTCCCCTAAAATACCTCTGCTGGCACTACAGTTAACTGCTTCCTGATTGGCCATGCATGATCCCTGATCCCACATACATGCAGCTAGAAGTGATACCAGCCTTTGGGAAGAAGGCTGTTGTCATTGCTAGTGTCACCTTATTCAACTAGTGGCTGGTCCTTCAAATTCGACTCCTGCCTCCTTACTTTTAATAAGCACCCGGTGTGTGTAAAAGATGATAGCCTCATGCCTGCAGTCCTGTGCAGGCCAAAGGACGGGTCTCAGCACCAGGGTTGAGTTCCCTCTGGCTGTGGGGTCTTCTCACTTTACTCAAACCCTTCCCTGGTTCCCCCACATGCTTCCTGCTTCTGAAGCTTTGAAGACCCTCTCTGTTTCTCCTTCCTACATCACTCCCTTCATTTTACACTACATGCAAAGATGTCTGCTGTCCTGGAAGAGCTGGTCCAACCATTTGGGTGATCCTACTCAACTTTACTTCCTGTTCCCAGTATCACTTAACACTCCCAGCTGTAAACACAGGTTTTCAGAAAGCAGTCTTGGTGAATTAACGAACTAATAATTAAGACATGGACACTTAAAAAAAACGGATATGAATATAAAGCTTTTTGTTTCCTACTTCATTTTCTTCCTCTTGTTTTTACACTGGGTATGTTTTGGTCGGGATTCCAACAGCTATTCTTGTCTGCCAGTCATCAATACTCTTAATGTGGGAAGGGCTGTGAGTGACCACATACCCCTGTCCTTCCTAGACATGCCATGGGTAACAGCAGGGACCCCTCTGCTCCCCTCTCCCCCACTACCACCTCCTGGAACTGTGGCAGGGGTCATGGTGAAACTAAACATAGCAACCTAGGAAATCAGCAGTTACTGACTCTTAGTTCAGTAAGACTGGATTTAAATTGTTTCTGTATGGGATCTGGCCCAAGACTTCATTTAGACGGGTTTTATAGCAAGCAAGGGGGAGTTCAGCTGCTTCACATTAAATATAATCTCTAGAAGCACAGAGAGGGTAATTGGCTTGTCTGAGGTACAACAACAGATCTTGGTCAGAACGAACTTATAATTCTAACAGGGGTATTTGTTTAAACCATAACACTTTGGGGACAAATCTTGTAAGTATCGTAAAAACTGGAGTTAATTTTATCTCACTGGGGCTTTTATTTCTACTTAGCAAAAACTCTTAACTAAGCATTTCAAACTTAATAGAGGCATTCATATAGGAATCTATGCTGGGATTTTTGGTTTTCATCCAGAATGGTGACTTTGCTATGATGTATTAGGTCACAATTATGTCTAAAGGCATACCTTTTTCAAATGATCAGTTTAACTGCTTTTAGGTACCGCATGGACACATTCAAGCTGTAACTCTCTCAGTTCTGATTCCACACTTAAGAATTGAAAAGCTAAAAAGTAATATGCTCTGAGAGGGTTAATATCCTACTTGCCAACCCGGGGCTTCAGGAAATGCATATTTTTCCCATCTTTCACTCTGGGTTTTCTGATATTCGCATGTGTTTTCCTGGTGTGCATATTACTCATGTATAACCACCAAGGGAACTATGCTTCAGGTGAAATATTGGTATTTCTAAAAAACAGTCATGAAGTAAAGCTACAGAACAAATAATGCTTTGGACAGATTGACGAATTCTACAATTTCTATAGCACAGAGACTGGGAAATCAGTCAAGAGCCCAGTGGATGCCTAGGAAAGCATCCATAACTTCTTGCAATTACATCCATCAACCTCGAGTCATTCTGTCAGGGGTGCTTCAAAACGGTACAGCAGAAAACCCTGCCTGTGGGAAAGTAGACTTCTAGTCTTCTCCTCCATGCTGCTCCTAGCCTGCTCCCTCACAATAGGTTACTGAGGAAACTTTAACCCTGGCTTAGAGCCACCCTGTGCTAAGGCTGTAACGTGGTTGGTTCTCTGACTTCTCCTTATTTTCTGAGAGACCTTGGTTTCCAGATTCCATGAATACCTTGAATGTAGACCCTGGTCCATTGCCCAGGGTCATGGACCTTGCTTGCTGTACCGACTGACTTCCTGGCCTTGGGTCTTGGGTCATTCACAATATTGCCAGACATATATCTCTCAGCAGGGCTTATTGGGTTTCTTTTGTTCTGTCTCAGCAGTGATCATAACTAAGTTGATATTTGTAAATATCTCACTAGAGTAACAATAGAAATGAAGTATTTTTTATGTGTGGGAGAAGCTTTGCTATCTTTGAACTAATGAATGGTTAATGCATAAATGAATGAATGCCTGACACTATGAAATCTCAGGCTCTGAACTATGAATAGATAAAGAAAACATACAGTCTACACCCAGACATCAGACATTAAAATAGAGAAGCTCAATATCGTAGTGATTGCTTTATCCTGGTTTCTGATTTTTGGGTGTACATAGGAATGATTAAATACTATTTCTAGAAGTTGTTTTCTTCATTTTGAGAGCAGGATAAATATAGCCTAACAAGTCTAAATCTATCCTGTACTGTTAGGTGGGGCTGGACAATGAAGGCATTTGGTTTGATCCTATGCTTGAAACATACACCTAGATCCTGCCATGCAGAGACAATGAGAATGCATTATGAGTAGCATCTTACTTATTAGGAAGTCCCTCAGGGCCACTTGGTTGAGACCAAGCAGGAGGCTAGGTCTCATTTAGCATGTTTCCTTCTTTAAGTATATCATCAGTCTTACTTAGAAGAGGGTGTCGAGCCCAGACACTGTGAGTGTGGTGTATTTGTTTCAGTGAACCACTTAGCACATTGTATTCATTTTGGGGCATGATTTACTTGCAAGGATTCGTGCACCGGCATCTGCTTTCTACAATGATGGATGCTTGTATTTCTGAGCTCAACGTGTTGAAGTACGGTTGTAAGCACTTTACATGGATTAACTTAGAATCCCCAAAGCCACAGAAAAGAGGGCATTACCATTGCTTCTGTTTTACAAATATAGTCCTTGAGATGCAGAGGCCTTCAGCAGATACTTTAAAGTCATAAACCAATAAGGAAAAGCAGCAGCACTTGGACCCAGGCAGCACGCTTAAGAGTCTGTATTCTAACCCATTGGGCCTTACTCTCCTCTTATGACCCTTAGTCCAGTTTTGCATAGAGACATGAGAGCATTAAATCAAAGGCCTTTGTATATTTACTCAGCCTGTAATCTGGAAGTCCAGGCCTTAGTTCTTGTAAAGACACATAGGTTCAGGATTAATTGTACGCTGAGTTCTATAAAGCCTTTTTGGGAATTATTGACTATGGGTGTAATTACTATAATGATGGCAAATGCTATAATTATGCCAAATGACATAATTTGTGTGACTGTGGTACATATAAGGAAATCACTAGATTGCATAATTGTCCCACCATGATAAGGCTGCAAAGTTCCTGGTTAAATCAGATAAAGATGTGTACAACCACAGGGCCCAGATTTGAGTTGGGGATGGAAGGGTGAAACTATTTACAAGCTGGGCAAGATAAGCCATACTTCATTTCATGCATTTAAAAATACCTCTTTCAAAATTGCAAACATCATGAAGTGATTAACTGAATCAAAGCACCTGATTTACACCTTTGATGTGTTCTGTAGAGCAGATGAGCACAGTCATAAATGAGGATGTACTTCCTGTCCTACAGTGGCAAACACTGTACCTGTCCAGGGGGAGGACTGAGATATTTTATTAGGGTAGCATATTCTAAGTCATGTAAAGGGGATCCAGAAACCACCGCAGCTTAGGAGATTTAGGCAGTTAATCCTTGTGTAGCTTGGGTGTTGAATGTCCATGTAGTAAGGATTTGGTCCCGGGAATGGCATGCCTGGGAAGTGTTAGCACTGCAGGGGATGGAGCATGCCTGGGAAGTGGTGGGACTGTGGGGGATGGGGCATGTCTAAGTGCATGAAGAGGACTGTAAGCCCCTAGTCCTTTCCTTTTCTCTTGCTCCCTGACTTGGGATGAAAGGAGCTTTCTCACCACAAGGTGCTGCTTATTGTGGTGTTTTGAGCACCAGGGCCAGCCAATCATAGACAGGAGCCTCTTCATAGGATAACTCTTTTTTTTTTTTTTTTTGGTTTTACGAGACAGGGTTTCTCTGTATTGTTCGGAGGCTGTCGGTCCAGCCTAGCCTCGAACTCACAGAGATCCGCCTGTCTCTGCCTCCCAAGTGCTGGGATTAAAGGCGTGCGCCACCACTGCCTGGCCATAGGGTAACTCTTATTTCTGACACTCTGTTACAGTGCTAGAAGGGTGACAATACAAGTGACAGTGTCAACCTTAGGGCGAGTGAAGACATCTAACCGCTAAGCCACTTAGCTATCCTAGCTTTGTACAATCATTAGCAAAAGTTACCAGCTTACTACGTTCTCATCAAGTTTTAGTATCTTTAAAAGGAGAAGTAGGGCCAGAGAGGTTAGGTGATGGTAAAAGTTGTGAGTATCTGAAGAATATTAGAAGCCCTACTCTGAGTGACTGTCACATTTACAATGTATATTATGTAGAATGATACTTGTGATATATACTCAGGGTACATATTATGGATAATTATCTATGCAGAGCTAGAATATATATGTGAATATGCATACGCATATTTATGTCTATAGTCATTAGAATGTAAACACCAATGGAAATAAGTTTCTTGCAGACCATATTTAATTTGCAGGATAAGCCCTCCAGCCCAAATGTATGTGCCAGTTTTAAAAACTTAATGTGACTGCACGACCATATAGTGCTTGTCATAGGAAAAACAAAAGGTTTAAAGTGTTTTGCCACATCATCCTGAATAATGCTGATGTCCGTTTTGTAATTTTAAAGATGGGATTATTCATGGAACTGTAAGATGAGTCACTCCTGTGTTGGAGGACAACAGAAGACAAGAGGCTGGAAGGTGACTGCAGATGTGCATTTTCCTTTGGGCAGAGCCGGCCCTCAGCACTGCCTGTAAGGGTTATTGTACAGTGCGTTGCCAGCATACATCACAGCTCGTACGCAACCTGCACTCATCATATAGTGCGCATGAAAATATGTTACCAAGTCGCCAGCCTGTGAGAGGGAAGACAAGCCACATTTAATATTTTGTTCCTAAGTGTTCTTTGCATCATAGCTAATGAAATATCTAAAAATCAACTGTAAGGAGGTAATTTTAGTACAGGAAACGTTCACAAATGGGTGCAGTCGCAGGAAATAAGATGACTTATCATTGTATTTGAGGACAAGAGAGGAGAGAAGGACATAGAGCCTGTCTGTCCTGGGATCTTGGGTGGAAGAGCACTTAAGGCCACTCAATTCCCTGGTTATTTAATGGGCTTACACAGGAGATAGGAACAAAGAAAAACACATAGGAATTTCAACTTACAGGCTTTGGAGTTTTCCATGGAGAAAAGAAACCTGAAATAAAGAAAACAACATTTGAGCTTGGAGAACATGCCCCACCGCCACACCCAGATCGCCTGATGTTAGGCTGATTGCATTTCACTTCCGATGAGCTGAGAGCACGGAAAACAACCCTGAAGGCCTGTGCAGCTCTCTTCAAGGAGCCCAAGGAATCTTGTGGGAATTATGTCAGCGAGTCTAAGAACACTTTTCTTCCCTTGGCAGCTGAGGGATTCTGAGGTGCGTAAGAGGTGAGTGACAAAGGCAGACACCTGCTTTAGAAAGCCCGACCCCGAGCCACCTTGGTGGTTCTTGTCACCCAACAGGAGCAGGAGAGCACAGGGTTAAAAAGTTAGGCTTTCAGAGGCAAATACCCTGGCTTAGTGTGAGAAACAATTCTGAGTTTATGGACCCGTTTTATACACTTTGCAAACAACAAATCTTTATTATTCCTACATTCAAAAACAATGAATACGTCTCTACTAAGACTCAGATCTTATTAAATCTCGCGTGCTACTGTTACCCACTGATACCCCTCTGTTTCAGGTTTTTATTGTCCTTGAACCCTAATACTACCATATGCCACGAGAAATCAAGGTGGTGTTTGCTTTTGAAAAGAAAGTAGAAAGATGCTTCAATATAATGGTGTTGGAACTGACATATACTGTCCCTAATAATCCAAAATGTTATCTGCCAGACAAAGATACTTTCTTCTCATATCTTTCCACTTTCAACAATTTTTTACTCTTATTAATTAATATTAGGTGATATCTAATAGAATGTCCAATAAAAATGAAGCACCGAGGCTATTCCGCATGCCAGGCTTATCGTCTTTAAAACCAAGACTGCCAAAACGGGAGAGATGGCCCATTTACAGGAAATATCTGCCGACATTTGGACACAGGATTATCTAGATGCCTGAGGAATCTAACTAATCATCGCATGCTGACAATTGCAATGTACTGACGACCCCTTCCGTCAGGAAGTGAGGAGCTGTGCAGTCCAGTGTAGTTTACAGCCTTTTGTGGGATAGCTGACCTAGCATTCAGATGCATGCAAACACCATCATGGTGGAACCAGTGTTTGTCCCGTTATACCCTGTGCCTAACTCTCTTTCTTATGCCATGAAATAAATTCTAGTCAGTGTGTGATTTGGTTATAAGGACTTATACTTTTTTTTTAGAAGACTTGAGGATAAAACTTAAGACTACATACATTTCTTTCCTTGACCCTTCTATAAAATGCCAATGACAACAATGTACCCCTGAGTTTAAAAGTGGGGGAATGAACCCATTCACTACTATTTTATCTTTTGAGGAATTGCCAGTATGAGTTTTTCTTTTTTGAGAAAAGATGTGGTTTACAGAGTTTCACAATGTCCCAGCATTCAGATTTCCTTCACTCCTCCTGTGCTGTCAGTCATCAGTACTGGAAATTTCTATGACTTTGAGGCAAAAGTGTTAAAAGAGCTATTGTCTCCACATGCAGCATTGTTTTAAAATATCATCCCTCCTCCTGTAAAAGGTGTATGGTCACCTGACCCTCGGTAATTATGATGTCAGGATAGAATGGCCTAAGGGGGCACAGACAAGGAGACTGAATCATAAACCCGCCGCAGACACCGAAGTTCCCTTTCTTATAAAGTTTCCATTCAGGTGGCCCTCACGCCAGTGGTGACCCATGGCTACTTCTCTCTTCTCATTACGGCAGTTTCTGCTCTATGTCTACTGTTGAGAAACACTGAGTGGCCGAGGCTGCCCTCTCTGGTGTAATCAACGTGGAGTGTGGAGATAGGTAAGAGGAGATATCACAGTGTATTCCTTAGAAGCAATAATGGACACCTTCATAATCATGCTAGAAACATTTAAATCAGTCTGACTAAAAACATGTATCTCACATACACTCAGCTTAGTCCTGATTAGGCCAGAGGGTAAGCTTTCTACATGATTAACCTCCAATCTTCTGCTCAACCTTATTGATAGAACTATAGAAATATTATGATAAAGTGAGTAAAAATAAAACTTTTTAAGTATTTTAAGAGACATTTAGATTATTATATTGGGGTTTATTTCTGATTTTGTTTTCTGGTAGGAGAAGATCATAGGCTTCCAACAACTGAGAAGCCTTACACATATACATGCACACACACACACACACACACGCATGCGTATAGTGAGTATATGTAGCAATTCTAACTGGCATCTTTTTTTTTTATTAATATTTTTTTTATTTTCCATTTTAAATTTAGATAAGAAACAAGGTTGCTTCACAAGTCAGTACGAGTTTCCTCTCCCTTTCCCTCCCCTCCTCCCGTGCCCTCCCCCATTCCCCCCCCGTTATCCCCTCATTCCCCCAGGGAGGGTGAGGCCCTCCATGGGGGTGTCCATAGTCTGTCATTTCATATAGGGCAGGGCCTAGACCCTTCCCCAAGAGTTCAGGGTGAGAGTGCACCTCACATTGTTCTATGGGAGTCCAGAGACCGTGTGTATACTTGGGATGGGTACTGATCTGCTGTCCAAGGCTCAATAGATTACCTAGGCCTCCTCACTGACGCCCAGATTCAGGGGGTCTTGATCAGTCCCATGCTGGATTCCCAGGCTGATGCCTGGGATTCAAGAGTTAACCTTTGTCTGGTCAGCTGTTACTGGGGGTTCAACCAGCCCAGTCTTAATCCCTTTGATCATCAGACCTCCCTCTCTGATACTGGCTTTCTTGAGTTCAGCTCAGTACTTAACCAGCCAGTAAATGAAGTTTCTGTTTCCCAGACTCTCTGGCCATAGGATTGTAGGCTGGCACTCCCCAGATCTATGTCTAAAATCCATATATGAGAGAGTACATGCCATGTTTCTCTTTTTGTGACTGGGTTACCTCACTCAGGATGGTTTCTTCTAGTGTCATCCATTTGCCTGCGAATCTCATGATTCCATTATTTTTTTCTGCTGAATAGTACTCCATTGTGTAGATGTACCACATTTTCTCTATCCACTCTTCGGGTGAGGGGCATCTAGGTTGCTTCCAAGTTCTGGCTATTACAAATAAAGCTGCTATGAACATAGTGGAACAGACATCTTTGTTATATGAATGGGCATCTTTTGGATATATGCCTAAGAGTGCAGTTGCTGGGTCTTGTGGTAGGTTTTAACTGGCATCTTTATTTAGAATTTGCTTGCTGTGTTTTGTTCTTGCAGATCACCTCTTCCCCTGGTCTCTGGGGCCCAGGCTTTCTCTGTCCCCTGAGTTTCACTAGGTTTGATGAGACAATTGCTTTATGGGCCTCTAATTGCTCAGCCCCAGGGAAACAAGGTGAGAGGCAAGCTCTTTTTCCTCAGGCCTTTTAGAGCTTCATGACAAAACCAAGGCCATAGGGAATGGGTTTCTTTGTGTCTTAGTTCCTGGCTTGTAGTCCCTCAGTGCTGCAGCAGACGCAGATTAGAATTCCCCTGAGGGATTTTTGTTTAGCTACGTCTCCTAACATCCAGGTTCCTCATTTGCTTTCTATCACACTCAGCAGCATACAATTCCGTATGACACAAATTCAAACACAAAAGCAGAAGGCTTCAAGGTAGCATTCTGGACTAAATAAAACATGAGTGGTTACCAATGAGGATGACAAAGTTTAGATAAGCCTGATAGGAAACTTTAGATACATTCTCAGATAAAGTGCATCAGACACCTGTCATTTTGGAAAAATGCAAAACCAAAGTATTATTTACAACTCTGTTTAGAATTGCAGCAAGATGAGAAGAGAGAAATATAGCAAAAAATAGCTCAAACTGAAAGACCCCGAATTTATAGAAATAAAATATAAGCTTAAACAGGGAGGGCACCCCACTAGAGAACTTGGGAAGTGAACAAAGGACCCCATCCCAGGAACCCGCCATACCACAGAATGGAATGTATGGTTTAGCAACCTTAATTGCAGAAGGGCTGTAAATTCACAAAAGGCAAATTACAAGCTGCCCTGACCACCATCTGTGAAGAACTGACCAGGGCGTCAGAGATGGGCAAACAAGACTAGTGGGAAACAAGGAGATAACACTATTTACTTAGGGAGAGATAATTAACTCATGCCAAGGTTTGAGGAATTTACAACATTGTAGGTCAGGAAGACATCTACTTCCCTGGGTCGGGAGTTAGGGAGTTACGTACCCCCTTCCCCGTCGCGAGATAGGGACCCCTCCCAAAAGGCTTGTGGTTTTTGTCTTTAAAAGCTGATTGTAACTGAACCTCGGGGCCAATCGGTCTAAAAGCTGACCGAGAGGCCCATCTGCAGATGCCTAATTAAAGCCTCTTGCGTGTTGCATCAATTGGCGCGTGGACTCTTCATTCTTGGGGTGACAAATCCAGCTTGGGGATCCCTCCTCAATTCAGGGTACCCCAACAAAACAAGAAATTTTGTTCATTGAAAATGGCAAGCTGACCAAAGAGGCCGGTGAATTCCAGGACAGCTAGGGTTGTAACACAGAAAAACCTTGTCTCTAAATACCCCCACCCACAACTGAATTTATATATGTCAACTAACAACAGTTTTAAATAAACTAGAGCATACAGTTGCCAATAAGATATACTGTGCACAGCTAAATTTAAATTCCAGGTAGACAATTTTTTGAAGCACAAGAATGTCTCACATATAGCACAAGACATGCTTCATGGAACAGAATATTTTTGTTTATCTGAACTTGAATTTAACTATGAATTTGGTATTTTTTTTATTAATATTTTTTATTTTCCATTTTAAATTTAGATAAGAAACAAGGTTGCTTCACAAGTCAGTACGAGGTCCCTCTCCCTTTCCCTCCCCTCCTCCCGTGCCCTCCCCGCATCCCCCCCGTTATCCCCTCATTCCCCCAGGGAGGGTGAGGCCCTCCATGGGGGTGTCCATAGTCTGTCATTTCATATAGGGCAGGGCCTAGACCCTTTCCCAAGAGTTCAGGGTGAGAGTGCACCTCACATTGTTCTATGGGAGTCCAAAGTCCGTGTGTATACTTGGTATGGGTACTGATCTGCTGCCCAAG